AGTTGAAGTCCACAAGTCTTAAAGTTGCCAAGTTTGGGGACCCCTGACCTAATTGGACACTCATGGGGAAGGACAGAACAAGGGAAAAGTTAACCAGATGCTTTGGGCGCAAAAACCCCAGATCCAGCTTTGCTTCTTCTGAAACCTCTTGACTTTAGGAGACTTAGACTAACTTTATAGTCACTTTGAATGTCCACTAATCGGCATACATTAAAATAAAATTCCGTTCCATACAGCTCTCAAAGGGTCACCACCTCCAATATACACCACGTAAACATGACAAAATAAATACAAAAATTATGCACATGCCCACATATATGACGGAGAGAAACAACACAGTCTAATCTGGATGTAGGGATGTACATGGTGAGAACAATGAATCTTTTGAGTTTACCAGAGGGATGAATGGCCTAGGCGGAACAAAGCTGTTCCAGAATCTGGTAGTCCTGCTAATAGATACTTCTAGTAAATAGTAAAGGGTACTTTTACCTAACCATCCCTAACCATGGGCCTGGGCAGGGCTGTCTTAACGCGTGGGCCTGTGGACCCCATACTACAGTAATCTGTGTCAGAGGTGGGATTCAGCCGGTTCTGACCAGTTCTGGAGAACCAGTAGCAGAAATTTTGCGTAGTTTGGAGAACCGACAAATACCGCCTCTGACTGGCCCCGCCAACCCCATCCCTTCTCTGCCTCCCATTGAGTCCCAGCTGATCGGCTGGGCTTTCTTTGGTTGCCCTGCACAGGTGAACGGAGCTGGAAAGCAGGTTAGTGGGGTGGGGAAGGAACGAGGATTTTGCAGTATATCCTTCCCCTGCCACGCCCACCAAGCCATGCCACGCCCACCAAGCCACACCCACAGAACCGGTAGTAAAAAAAATTTGAATCCCACCACTGATCTGTGTATGTTAACCTTTCAATGCACCTTGCATCATAGAAATACAGCAACATGTTTATTACATTTTACTGCATTTTTTTAATTAGTTGGTGTTATTTTATTAAATAACACCAATTTTGTTGGAAGAGCCAATAAAATAAATATAGGTTTAAGTTTATCGACCATTTACATTTTTATTCCGGTGAGTAGACCGAGTTGGGACGGTGGACAAGACAAGGCTGGCAGGGCTCCAGGAAGGTTGGGCAGGTGGCAGCTACCTCTCTAGGTGAGGCCAGGAAGAGGGCTAAGTCTAGCTGGGGGGGCGGGGCGAAGACCAGGTGGGGGCGGGGCAGTGCGTGGGGGCGGGGCCAAAAGGGCAGAAATGGGGGGGGGAATTGAAGCAGCTGTTACTTTTGAAAACTGCCCCACCCCCCCAAAAAAAACCCAAGAGACACTGAAAGCCCCGGGTAAGATCTGATATTGAGGTTCCCGTGATGGGTCGCCTGGAACACCCCCCCCCTCGCTTCCCCACCCCACAGAACTCCAACACCCATGATTCCCCGCTGACAGGGGGTGGGTGGACGGGTTCCCCCCACCCTCCCAGCGGGAAAGACCTCCCCACCCCCGGTGAAGGTCTCGGGTTCCCCCCCTTCTGATACGAGCCGAGGAGCAGGTGCCTCTCCAGGGCTCCCCTCCGGGAGGGGATGGTGGGCGTTGTAGTCCCAGTCTCTCGACGGCTCCTCCTCACCTGTGAAGTGGCAGAGCGCGGCGACGCAGGCCGGGCTGGTGGCGTTGCCCACCCGCGGGATCAAGCGGAGGCTCAAGATCTGCTGCAAGAGGCCGCCGGAGTCCGGCGGAGACGCCCCGCCGCCTTCCGCCATCCCGCCGCCTCAGCCGCGGCATCCCGTTGCCGGATCCAGAGAGGAGCGGCGCCCAGAGCGGCGCCAGGCGCACTTCCAGCAGGGCCGCTTTCCGGCCGCTCTAGATCGTGGCGTTCTATGGTTTTTTGTTTTTAAACTTTCTCTCCGCCCCGCCCCCCCTTGGAAAACTACACTTCCCAGAAGGCCCTTCTTGCTCTTGGAGACGGGCGCCGGGAGCGGCTAATTCACCGACGGCTGGAAGGTCGCTCGCAATAACGTTCGTTAACCCGCAAAGGCCCGCGCGGCTCTCGTAGCCTTTGCCATCCGAATCATTCCAGGCTTTCTGGGCCTCAAGAAGCCCAATCTCACTCTCTTTTTTTTTCCAGCGCCTCTTTTCCCACCCCCGGGAGGTTTGACCGATCTATGGCGCGTATTTATCCCAGTCTCGAATATTGACGCCTGGATCGGTCAAATATTCAACTCTTCCACTTCACCAAAGACGCAGGACGGTCTTCCACAGGCTTGTTCTGTAGCTCCAGGGGTACTTCCGGCAAAGACGACATTCCCCCCCCCCCAGGGGAGGCGTGTGCTTCCGGGTTGTCGCCTCAAGACGGGGGTCTTGATATGTGAGGTCGGAGTCGCGCCGAAAGAGCCATGTCGGATTCGGAGGATTTTTCGTCGGGGGAAGACGAGGATTACCTGCCCTCAGGTGAGGACATACACCCCGGCCTCGGAGAGAGCGCGCGGCGAGCCGCGGGCGGGCGGTTTGGGCAGGCGGGACCAGGCGGCGAGGCCTTCGGGTCAAGGCCTCTGTCCGGCGGCTCCCAACATCCGGGCTACGCGCTGAGGGCGTCACGTGACAGTAGCCCGGCACCGTTTCGGGTGGGCGAGTCCAACGCGGGTTGTTGGATGGGGGGGGAGGACGGGATGGCGCGGGTTGTACCACCCTAAAAAGGGAAGGCGTTGGGTTGCAGACCCGTTTCTGCTCGCAGGTAGCGGAAATTTTGAGTAGCTTGGAGAACCGGCAAATCCCGGATCGGCCGCGTGGAATAATAATAGATCCGCGAACTTCAACTCCCAGAATTCCCCGGCCAGCCCAGAGCAAAGCCTTGACAGGCTTTGCTGAGCTGGGAATTCTGGGAGTTGAAGTCCCCTGCCTTAAAGCAGCCAAGTTTGAGAAACTCTGGAGTAGACTTTGCAAGGACCGCTGGCTCCTTTCCCTCCTAACTGCCCTGGAAAGGTAAAAGCTCCTTGCAGCCAAACCTCTGGTGAGGCTGCTTGCTTTGGGATGGAGATTTCCCAGTCCTTTTTTCTGATCTTTTCTTTGGGGGTTTCCTGGGGGTCTCCCATCCAAGATAAATGGCTTACTCTCACAGGATCAACCCTACCTTTGCGCCCAACGTGAATCCTAAAAGCGGGAGATGGAGCCTTCCTTGGATTTTCCTTCCTCAAACTTTATGGCAGCCTTTTATTAGCGCTGTCATGAACTGGGACTCCTGAATGGAAAGTCTCTCCCTTCAGCCTTCTTTACTTATTTTATTTGTAGTTCCATTTTTTTTTCCATCCAGGATGCCTCTGGCATTTGTACAGTCCTCCCATTTCAGTCCTATCCTAAATTGTAATCTTAGGACAAAGGTCTCCAAACGTCGCAACCTTAAGACTTGTGGACTTCAACTCCCAGAATTCTCCAGCCAGCTCCAGTTGAAGTCCACAAGTCTTAAAGTTGCCAAGTTTGGAGACCTCTGTCTTAGGAGGTACGTTGCATTTCTTGGGGAATTGAATTAAGATTTCTGCTATCTTAAACTGAGTCTGATGAGGCAGGAGTGTTGGTGCAATCTGTCTAGCGCAGTTTTTCTTGCTGGCTGGGGAATTCTGGGAGATCAAGTCCACACATCTTCAAGGACCCAAGGCTAAGAAACTCTGCTCTGTAATTAGTATAATGGAAAGAACTTTTTTCAACTCTATCTTTATTTATTTTTTTGTAAATAATTCAAGGCAGCAAACACACCTAATATTCATTGCTCCCCTTATTTTCCCCAGCAACAGCTTTGTAAAATGGGTTGGACTGAAAGTCCTTTCATGCTTAAGACGGGACTAGAACTCACCTTCTCCTGGTGATTAACCCAAAGTCACCCAAGCAGCTCTCATGCCTAAGGCGCAACTAGAACTCACAGTCTCCTGGTTTCTAGGTATATTCACCACTAAATCTATGAAACCCATGGTTCTTTTGAGGATGACATGGAGTCCCAAGCAGCTACTTCTGTTGCAAGTCGGCAACAAACCTTATTGCTGCTGTTTTCGTATTTTTAGATGACCAGGATGGAGAACGAAACCAAGAAACAGCTTCTCCCCACACACACACATTTTGCAGCACCCCAGCTGACCCACCGTATCTCCGGTCTGCCCAAGGGCAGATGAAGGATAAAAGCTTCCTTGGTGGATTCTCTTTCGGCTTTCCCTGTGATGACAATGCTTCCTTTTTGCTCAGGCCTTGTTGTGGTTAGCCAGCAGGAGGTGCAGATGGCTGAGGAGAGCGAGGACTCAAATGAGGGGCCAGGACCATTAGGGACTGGACTGCTGCCTTTCAGAGATTGTGGGGGCTGGCAGCAGCGATGAGGAGGTTCCCGAGGAGCCTGTGCCAAGTGTGCATGCATGGAGGGCTGCTCGCAGGGAAGAGCAGCTACAACAGCACGGGCGACTCGGGAGTGAGGCTACAAGGTAATGGCCCCTCCTTCAAGAAGATAAAAGCCAGCTGTGAATCGGACGTTCTTTGCAGGAAGCAAAGACGTTTTGAAACTCGAGCCTCGTGGGCATTGCAGTATCTTAAGTTGGTATTTGAAGACTCTTGTGTTGTAAAATATCTCTAGGTAACCTTATCTGTGATTCTTGGCAGCCTTGCACAGTTTTGGCGAGGCTCGTGTTTATCAAAGTTTGCAGCAGCCTTTTAACCGGGGATTCATAAGAATCATTAAAAGGTTTCCGTTCCCTTTGGTTCGTGTTTGTTTTACTGGACAAGGGTTTAGGTCAGAACAGGCCTGGCTGCTTGGATGACACACAGTCTAGTCCGTCCGTCCCCTGTTCCTAGTGACAACCTGTTCCTTTTGGGTAACTGAGGCTGTGTTGATGCAGGGGAAGAATACAGTGAAGATGATGTCAGCGAGCTGGTCAAGGAAGAGGAAGTGGAGGAGCCGAAGCAGCAGCCAGACTGGAAGAAATGCAAAAAGGACACTAAAGGAATCGCACCTCGGTAAGCAGTCATTTGCATAAGAGGGAAAGAAAGAAAAGAAAGTGTTGTTTTGCTCCCTTTTCGAGACGATGCCTGAAACTGCATTTTTTTCGATAAGGTGTTTTATTTGTGGAAAGTGATGAGTGAGGAGAGCAGTTCCATTGAAAGCTGAAGAGCTGTATGAAAACTCACAAAACTCCCACGCTTGGGATTAGATTTGAGATAGGCCTGCTATCTCTGTGGGATTAGCATAAACCAGGGTTTCCCAATCTTGGCTACTTTAAGACATGCAGACTTCAACTCCCTGAATTCCCCAACCAGCATGACTAGCACTATATTCAGCATGGTTGGCTGGGGAATTCTGGGAGCTGAAATCTGCATGTCTTAAAGTAGCCAAGGTTAGCCAATATACAGATAGTCCTTGACTTAACAACACTTCACTTAGTGACTTTAGAAGGTCGTTGAGGCCACTTGGAGGTTTATCTGTGTCCTCAGGGCCACCTGAGTGGTGCAAATGGTTCCTGTAGTCTCACCCCACCCCCCACCCCGGAAATCCATTCCCTATTCCCATACTATTCAAAGAGTGTTCATCCCAAATTGTATAGCTAAAAGTCTGTAGAGATTCTCAGCCATTCCAGGTCATGGTTGCCCCAAAGGTGCTTTCTCAGGAGGCAACTGGACTTTCTGGTTTTTCTTGGAAGAAGTTTCGCTTCTCATCCAAGAAGCTTCTTCAGCTCTGACTGGATGGTGAGGAAGGGAAGGATTTCTATTCCTTGCAGACAGCTAGTCATTTGCATTCTTTTAGAAAATCATTGAGATCACTTGGAGGTTTGTCTGGGTGCAAATGGTTCCTGTAGTCTGGAAATCCATCCCTTATTCCCACACGATTCCAAGGGTGTTCATCCCAAATTGTATAGCTAAAAGTCTGTAGAGACTCTCAGTCCTCCAGGTCATGGCTGCCCCAAAAGGTGCTTTTTCAAGAGGCAACGGGACTTCCTTGTTTTTTCTTTGAAGACGTTATGTTGCCCTTTTTACTTAACACAAGATTGCTCAGCAGCATCCACAGGATGTTTTTTTTTTTTTTGGGGGGGGGGGGGGGGGGAAGAATCAACACGACAACCACCACAGGTGGCCTTTCAGTCGCGCTGTTCCGGCAGCCATCTTCACTTTATTTTTTTATCCCAACCCTGCAGACGCTCCTGGTTGTTTCCAAGCACCCCCAAAATAACCTTGGCCGCCATTTTAGGTTCTTGAATGGTAATTTATTTGCTGATAACAACAGACGTTTTCTCCCTAGGAAAAGAAAGAAACAACACGGGCTTTTCTTAGATGTGGGGGAAGGAGAATCTTCGAAAGACAACAAAAGCGACCAGGAGGACAGCGAACTGGGCGAAAGTCACAACACACACATAAACGAAAACGAGGAAAGGAAAAAGGAGGAGGCGTTGTGGGCCAGCTTTCTCAGTGATGTTGGCCAGAAGCCCAAAGCTGTTTCCGCAGAGCAAACTCCCCACAACCAGAAACACACGGTAAGGAGAAAACTGCCATTCAGACACCAGTTGCTGAATTTTCATCACATGACCATGGGAATGCTGCAGTGGGCGTTAAGTGTGAAAAACGGCCATAAGTTGTAACTTCAAACAGTCACTAAAACAAATGGCTGTAAGTCAAGGACTACCTATATTGTGCTAAACCGACAACGGATCATAAAGCCCAGATAAGCCAAACCAAAGCAAACCACATTATAGATGAGTGGAAGGTTATAAACCAGTTGTCAGTTCGTAAAACTTTCCTATGCCTGTTTTCGAGTTGCCATAAACAAGGTGGGGGGTGAGAAGGAAATCCACACTTACCTTACAAAGATTGTAGCCTAGGTTACCAGATTTTCTGCCCAGGAAAATCCTTAATTGGAGAACGTGATTGATGACACCCAGCTTGTGAACGTGTTTCATTGGAGAATCTAATTTATGACACACCCAGGAGGGAGAGGGGAAACAGGGCCAAGGTAACCATGAATTATTCATGCCAGAGTTGGCTTCGTATGGCTCAATGCCAACATGTTGCTCCTAATAAATCTCTTGGGTTCTTTTGAAGCTTGGCTCGAGGCTCATGATTTCATTAGGGCAATCGCCGGAACTCTGACACCAGTGGTGGCTTAACCTTTTTGGCACCGAAGAATAGTTCCCTGATGCAGGAGCACCGGAAACCGGAAGCTTAGCTTCCCAGCGCACCCTTGCGAGCTGGCCCTCTGGTCTCCCGGTTTTTAATGCGCATGCGCGCACTAAGACCAGCTGGCTGGCGTGCACATGTGCTCCAGGGAGCTGCTGTTCTGGTTTCTGGTGCTCCCGTCCAGACAAAAGACCAGCTGCTCAGCGGAACCCAAAAGAGCAACAGGTGACGGCTGGCGTGCCCGGAGAGATGGCGCTGCGTGCCACTTCCAACGCGTGCCATAGGTTTGCTGTCACGGTTATAAACGCATTTAATACTGTATGTTGCGTGCATTGAAAGCGCCTGAGGTGTCTCCAGTGCTGAAACAAATGTGGTTTTTTTTGTTTTCTGTTTTCTTTCCGGTTTTGGTTAGTCAGCCGATGAGAAGAATGTGTGCGAGTCTCAGGGGGAACTGAAGGAAACCGAGAGCAGCAAAATCACCGTCACCAAAGTGTTTGATTTTGCTGGCGAAGAGGTGAGGTAAGTTGGGCCTGTTTCCTCTGCATTCAGCCGCCTCATTCAAACAGCAGCTCACAAGCAGCGGACAAGGGCCACGTTATAAACTGCTTTTCGCTGCAAAACAGGGACCTTAAAAACATTTCACTGGGCTGTAAAACAGCAGAGTTGTATTAAAATACACGTACAATAGGCAAATAGGAGTGGTACGGTGGCCTAGAGGCAGAGTTCTCACCTCACCATGAGTTCGATCTAAGATAAATGTAACGGTAAAGGTTCCCCTCGCACATACCTGCTAGTCATTTCTGGCTCTAGGGGGCGATGCTCATCTCCGTTACACAGCTGAAGAGCCAGCGCTGTCCAAAGACGTCTCCATGGTCATGTGGCCAACCGAAGGCGCACGGAACGCTGTAACCTTCCCATCAAAGTGGGTCCCTACTTTTCTACTTGCATTTTTTTTTACATGCTTTCAAACTGCTAGGTTGGCAGAAGCTCTGACAGTAATGGGAGTGCTAGGGATTCGAACCGCTGACCTTTCTGATCGACAAGCTCAGTGTCTTAGCCACTGAGCCACCGTGTCCTATTCGATCCTAGGTAGAAGCAGATCTTTCTCTCTCTGGGCACACTGAGAGCATATCTGCTGAACAAAACTCCTCATTGGTGACAGGAAGGGCATTCGGCCACTGAAACGCTCTGCTAGCTCCATTCAGTTGCGCAGACTCCACCCCGCAAGGGATTATGGGGTCGTTCTGAGTTTCCTCAAAGCTGGTGTCCCCAGTGTACTTTTTCAAAAGGCAACTGGACTTTCTCAGCATTTTTTTGAAGATGCTTTTCCTTGAAGATGTTTCACTTCTCATCCAAGAAGCTCCTTTCGATCGAACTGATCACCTTACATTCTGTTTTAAGTCCCAAAGGTGCTTTTTCCAAAAAGGCAGCTGGACTTTCTCGACATTTTCTTTGAAAACTTTGCAGAGCTTCTTGAATGAGAAGCAAAACGTCTTCTAGGAAAAAAAACAGTGTAGTTGCCTTTTGAAAAAAAACATCTTTTGGACTTAAAACAGAATTTAAGGTGATCAGTTCAAAGAAAGTCTTTGAAATCCCAAAGAGAAATTGGGGGACAACCCCAGTCATTTTTCAGAAATGCTGAAAAGTAATTCAGACTGATGGGCTGGTGTTCAGGGCAAGGGCTGCATTGTCCTTTAATGTCCACGGGTTTCAGTTCCAAGGCCTGGGAAGGAAATGGCTGCACTCAAGGTTTGAGGAGCTGAAAGTCCAGAAAACTGCCCAAACCTCTGAGAAATATTTAGAGCAGCCTCGGTGAGGCAGTGACCACTTGGAGAAGCTGGAAGATCTGGGACTAAAAAGAGGGTGGCGTGTTGCTCTTCCTTAGAGGTTTGGGAAGGAAACCGGGCCAACTGCATTGGGAAGTGAAGGTTTTGCACAAGAAGGTGGAATCGGGTTTTGCATTAAGCAGAGTTCCCTAAGTAAAAGATTTGGATTGGGATAAAGTCATCTTTCTAGAGCAAGGGTGGGGAAGCATGGCCCCTTTATGACTTTATGGACTTCAACTCCCAGAATTCCTAAGCCAGGGCTGGCTCAGGAATTCTGGGAGTTGAAGTCCACAAGTCATAAACCCGCCATGCTTTCTCACATTTGCCGTATAGAGGGACGCTGTGTTTCCTCCCTTGATTGCTACAATAGAATAGAAAATAGCATAGAATAGAATAGCATAGAATATACCATAGAATAGAGGAGAGGAGGATAGGATAGGATAGGATAGGATAGGATAGGATAGGATAAGATAGAATAGAATAACTTTATTGTCACTTTGAATGTGCATTAATCACCATACATTAAAATGAAATTTTGTTGCATGCAGCAATATCGTTGCATTTCAGGGAGAAATGAAAGCAGGAATCTGTTAAGGTTGCTGAAAACGGAGGGGTGAGGCAAATACCTTACAAGGTCACGCAGAAAGGAAAAACAGATGGGATTAAAACAACATGAGAAAGATCGATTTACACAGATGGTTTATTTAGTCTTTTATCTCATATGTGGTTATTAAACTCAAGAATTACTTTTCAAACAAATTCCCCATGATAGTGCGAGGTAGAATTCTGGCATTCAGAAGCCAGTATCTGACTTGTAACCGGAAAAAGATTATGTTTTTGAGATTAACCCGTTGCTTTTTGTTTTGTCTTGACCTTTTTACCATGTGCTCTGTGTGTCTGCAAACCCGTTCCTTGGCGGCTATCCGTTCCTTCGCAGAGAGGAAATGCTAATTTGCTTCTTCAACCACAACCGTTTGATAAGCCCCCAAACTTGCTGCTGCTTTTTGGTTTCCTGGAGGAAAAATACATTCATTCTGCCTTTTTGGAATTCAAGCCAGGGGTACAGATTTGTTCAGTCAAACCTTTCTGCCTGCCACTTTTGGCAGCTATTCCTCATTCTGTAAATTGGGAAAAACTTTAATGCCTAGAGCAACTTTGTAATTTGTGTGTGTGTGTATGTGTGTGTTGATTGGGGGTGGTTGTCGTGCATTTTAATCTGCTCAGAGAGCATGTGCTCTTGGGCAGATTAAAACAAAAGTCCAATCGTATTTTGGCTACATAGCGTAGGGCCATGTTGGATCAAACAAATATACTAGTCGTCATTATGTTTCCCCACAGCTGTCTGGAAGCTCACTAATAATTAGGGTGTGTACTTCGGATTCAGAGATAGGCTGTTTCTGCTCTGACGGTGACCTTAGCAGGCATTCATGGCTGGACGTTTGGTTTATTTCCTACACACACAGAGAGAGAGGGAGAGAGACCACTTCTGGGTTATTTCAGTTGGCAGCTGTTCCATTTTCTGAATAGCAAAATTCCAGAAATTCCCGAATGCACGTATGTCCTAGGTGATTTTCCTTTTTATTATTCTTCAGAATTTCCCATCGTCCAGTTTAACTGGGTGTCCTTGGGTTCTCTTGGTGTAGAAGACGTTGTGTATTCCCTGCACAAATGCAATATAGAATATATCTCTATCATGTTTCTGTTACTTTTTAACCGCCTGCAGTCCAAATGCTTTTGACTTTCCTGGGAAAGATTCCGTCAGATTTTCTGTGTCTCCATTCTTTTCATCGGTAGCCTGTGTTTGTCTGTTTATCCCAAAGTAGCCTGTTTTGTTGAGAATTTTCAGCGCAGTGAATACATTTCAGAGAATGTCAAACATTAAGCTGGGATTGGAAACCCGTTTGAAGTTAAAAGTAGGCAGTGTGGATGAGATTTTTTTTTCTTTTTTTCCCACTTTTGAGTCATTATTGACTCCTGGCAACCGCCTGGACAAGTCCCTGCATTTTTCTTGGCAAGATTTTGGAAATTGTTTGCCATTGTCTTCTTCCCAGGGCTGAGAGAGAGTGACTGGCCCAAAGTCACCCAGCTGGCTTTGTGCCTAAGCTAGAACTCATAACTTCCTATTTCTTTCTAGCCTGGTGCTTTAACCCAGAGGTCCCCAAACTTGGCAACTTTAAGACTTGTGGACTTCAACTCCCAGAATTCTCTGGCTGGAGTATTCTGGGAGTTGAAGTCCACAAGTCTTACAGTTGCCAAATTTGGAGACCTCTGCTTTAACCACTAAACAAACTGGCTCTTAAAATGGAATTAGCCCAGTGAAAAGTCCAAATCACTACAAATAAATGTATTATCTACTTTTAGAAGAGGTATTGTAATTGTTTCTCAATACGATGATTGTAGAAACACGAGAATTCTGCTGTACGGAATTTATGAATTTCAGACTGATGTACTGAGAAACTCAATAGCACTAGCAAAGGGCAGAGTCACAGAGATTTTTAGCACTAGATATTATAACTCTCCCAACATGCCTCTGTATGTAAGCATTTGGGATTTGAATTCATGAAATTGAGAAGCACATTTGTGATGATTGTATGTGTGAATAAAGGAGAATATTTGTAGCTCAGGGTTGAAATGAGGTGTCCTTGGTGCTCCCTGAGCGTCGTTATTTTCTTGCAGATGTTTCATGACTCAACTAGGTTACCCATCAGTGCTCGAAGGGAGTAGGGTGGAGTGGAGGAGGAAGAGGAGAAGCTCTGTGAGATCCTTGATGCTCTCTGAGCTTGGTTGTTTTCTTGCAGACGTTTCATGACCCAAATTAGGTAATGCGTATCTTATGGGGCCTTTCAGGAGTTGATTGAATAGGCTTTTCCACTGGCCACTTTCTTCGGCTGGTTCCACATCTTCTTGGCTGGAGCTTTATGGGAATCGTGCAGGAAGTTCCCACTTCCAGAGATCCTTCAGAATTTCAAAATGGGGCACCAAATCGAAAGGATGGAAGGAATGGCTTCTGTTTTAATGTCCTTTTTTCCCTTTTCTGTCTTTCATCCCTCTGGCAGAGTCACCAAGGAAGTCGACGCCGCTTCGAAGGAAGCCCAGCTGTTTCGGAAACAGCAGGAGCCGAAAGCGTCAACCCAGACACCTCATCCAACTGTTTCAGGGTAAGATCCTGAGAAAGTGCTGTGCATCCAGCGCAGGAATGCCGGGAGGGAATTGCAATGGCATCTTTAGAACCAGAGGGAATTGCCCGACTCGCTTAGAGCCTCCTGGATGTCACTCAACCAGGGAGATTCCTTCTGGAGATCACTCAACCTAGAAAGGAAATGGATATGGATGCACTGGAGCAGTTTTATTTGGCAGGGGAGGGAAGATTCGCACACTGGTATTGTCAGCCATCCCAACTTGGCGAGTTAGACAAGAAAGACTCTCGACTCCATCAGTAGTACATTTTCCTAAAGCCAAACGGTTACAGAAGAAGCAACGCCAGATCTGGCTTTTCGCACCACTTAACTCTTCCCTTCTCCCCACCTTCTTCCACTTCCACTGCCAGGAAAATCCTCCTTATTTCCAGGTTGCATCTCTCCTTGATTAATTTTCATCCATTGCTTCTTCTCTTGCCTTGTGGTGGAGAATAGGTTGACCCCCTTCTCTCTGTGGCAGCCCCTCAAATATTGGAACGCTGCTATCATGTCGCCCCTCTAGTCCTTCTTTTCATTAAACTAGACATACCTAATGTTTTAACCTCCAGTGCCCTAATCATTAATGTTTCCGAGGCCGGATAAAGGCTTCACCATTTGTTTTTATTTCCACATATTCCACGCATCTTTCTACAGCAGGCCCCGTTGCTGTAATAGGCAGGACCTTCCATACTAATGAGTTTGCAATTTGGAAAAGAGTTCAGTCATGTTCCATCTAATCCTGCTCAGTTTGGATAATCCCAGTTAGCCTGAGTGCATTTATCTTACATTTGCCAGTATCCTTATCCCAAATGGCTGCTTGTGATTGATGGGACTTGTAGCCAGATATTTGTAGGGTGTGGGGCTGAGAATTTATCTGTCTGTTTGTATCCTGCTTTTTATTATTTTTTTACAAATAATTCAAAGTGGGGAACACAGATCTTCCTCCTATTTTTCCCCACAACAACCCCTGTGGGTTGGGCTGAGAGAAAACCACTGGCCCAGTCACCCTGGTGGTTTTCATGACTAAGGTGGGACACGAACTCGCAGCTTCCCAGTTTCTAATCCGGTGCTTTAAACACTAGACCAAATATGGTTTTCAAATGTCCTGATGCACCTTAAACAGTCACAGTCTTCTGCACGTGCAAATAATTTAAGTAGTTAGCTAATATAATCTAAGGCTGGAGTCACACAGCATGCTAAATACTAGGTTTTTCTTCTTCTTCTTCTTTCCGTTCCCTTGTATCCAATGCTCAGATACTGCTGGGAGAAGCCCTTGCAGTTTTCTTGCCAAGTGGTTAGAAGTGGTTTGCCATTGCTTCTTTCTTAGGACTTAGAGAGAGTGACCGGCCCAAGATCATCCAGCTGGCTTTGTGCGTAATGCAAGATTAGAACTCAGAATCTCCTGGTTTCCAGCCTGAGGCCTTAACCACAATGCCAGACTGGCTCTCAAAAACTAGTGAACAGAACGTAATTGCTACGTTCAGAGAACATGCTTCATCTAAAAGCAAATTATCTCATACTCCAGCATGTTTTCCACAGTGCAGTGAGTCAGTGCCTGGCTTCCCACAACTGGCCAGATCTTGTATTGGAGTACGGATAGTCCTGGACCCACGACCACCATTGAGCCCAACATTTATTTTGTTAAATAAGACATTTGTAAAGTGAGTTTTGGCCCATTTTACGATCTTTCTAGCCACCTTTATTAAGTCAATCATTGCAATTAAGTTAGTAGCACGGTTGTTAAGTGAATCTGGCTTCCCCATTCGCTTTGCTTGTCAGAAGGTCCCAAAAGGGAATCCCATGGCCCCAGGACACTGCAGCCGTTATAAATATGAACCAGTTGCCAAGTATCCAAATTTTGATCATGTGGCCATGGGGATGCTGCACCTGTCATAAGTGTGAAACATGATCAAGAGTCCCTTCTTTTTCAGTGTAACTTTGATCAGCCACTGTTGTAAGTCGAGGGCCGCCTGTAGTCTTATCAGGAACCCACCCCACATGTTTGCGGAAATCCTCACTCTGCACATGGAGCGTGGAGTCTATGCAACAAATAAATTCCTGCTCTACAGAGCAAAGAGTTGGTCTCAGACAGACAGCCACTTGAAGAGATTGGAAGCATTTGAAATGTGGATTTACTGGTGGCTGTTACCTATAAGCTGGGTGTCATGCCCTTGTCCGAATCTGATTTGGAGGGGGAGGCCGAGCAGCTGACAGGGAGTGGGAGTGTGGCTCCGTTGGCTTTGGAAGAAACTGGGGAAGGGTAAAGTCCAGCTGGGTAGAGAAGGGGAGAGGTAGAGCAAGGGAAAGGGAATTCGGAGGAAGACCAATGCCTTCATCCTAGGGCATGCAGGGAGGAACGGAGAAGGGAGGAACGTGAGTTGTGTGGCTTACGAGGGAGGAAAGGGCCCTGATTCCCTTCATTAGCTGCAGCTGGGAACACAGTGTTTAAAAAGGGAGGTTGCACACAGTAACTAGTTGAAAACAAATTGTGAGTTATCTTTTATTGTCGAGGCTTATCTGGGTTCCTGGTGTTTTCCCAACTGCGTGTGTTTTGTTGGCCTTTGAAGTCTGCAATTCCTTCTCCTGCCCTGTCCAGTTAATTGCTGCAGCGTGGTTTCTGTGGATTTTTATTTACAGTTTGTATGTACTCTGTTTTCGGACTGAATTTCCTCCACTTAAAGACTGTTCTTGGGAGATTTTTTTCTCCAGCTGAAGGTAACCTGGACATTGGGAGCAAAGTTGGCGGTATTAAAGGGACTTTTCTTACTTATGTGACTTTGTTGCCTTTGTGCCAAGCCCCTTTGGGTCATCACACTGGGTTGACAAAATCAGAAATGAGGAGGTGATAAGCCACCTGAGAAAGCAAAGGGAAATCAAAACCAGTGGTGGTATTTTACCGGTTCGGCCCGGTTTTGCCGAGCCAGTAGCGCCGATGAGCAGCGGAGACCAAACCAGTTTTCTCTGCTCTTGGGGCCGCCCGCCCGCCTGGGCTCTCATGCTCTCCTTTATCCTCTGCTTTTGAAGCACAGCTGCTCTGCGCGGCACAGCAGAGTGCCGTGCGTCAGCTGCTGAAGCGACCGGGAGATCGCAGGCTGGCAGGAGGTGAGTTGGAACGCAAAGCACACCCACCAAACTGGTGGTAAAACTTTTGGAATTTCACCACTGATCAAAACCATAAAAAAGCGAAGGTTAGACTATTTCCGACATCGGATGCGATACCCGGAAAATACAGCCTCCTTCACTTAACCCTTCAGGCAAAGACTGAAGGCAAACGAGGTCCAGGCAAAAGAAGAACATCGTGGCTTCAAAATGTAAGGGGCCGGTTTGGACAAAACTCAGCAGCCCTTTTTTGTGTGGCTGTTGATAAAAATAGGATCGCCAACATCTGATGGATATGGAAGAAGAAGGAGGAGGAGAAGAAGCACCAGCCACCAGGGGTCGCAAAACCTCACCTGGTCATCTTGAGCCTTTAAGGCAGCTATTGTCCCGGTGATGTCACAACTCACAAGCCGGCCAGATTTAATCACCACTGGAAATCTCCTTTGTCAAGCTAGAGTGGACCTCGGTGTCCCTCAGCTGCACAATCGGAGCCATTCTGCAAAGGAATGGAATCGATGAAATAAATAGGTTGCTCTAGATGAGAAATGCAACACTTTGTTAGTTGAAGGAAAGGGCAGAGCCTTGAAGTCTAAACCCAGGGATCCAGTGGCAGGATTTCTGAGACAGCCCCCTGCTTCATTCTGAGCTCGTTTTTGAGGAATCTATTTTGGAACTTGGGTTTTGTTTTTGTTTTTTTATCCTTTTGGCTGTCCCGGCTGGTTGCCATCTGTGGAATTCATTTCCTGTGGGTTTAACAAACCATGGCTCCGTCTGTACACTGCTTTGGATTTAGCTCAGTGTTTTTGCTGGATTTGAGTGCAGAATTTAGAATAAACTAGAGCTGGAAGGTCGTCTAGTCCAGCCCCCTGCTCGAGCGGGAGAGAACCTGTGCCATTTCAGACAAGGGGCTGTCCAGTCTCTTCTTAAAAACGTGCAGGGATGGATCACCCACGATTTCTGGAGACGAGTTGGTCCACCTGTCCTTTCATGGATTTAGAGCAGAGGTATCCAACCTTGGCAGCTTTAAGACTTCTGGATTTCAATTCCCAGAAGGAATTTTGGGAGTTGATGTCCACAAATCTTAATCCCCAAATCTTGGACATCCTTGATTTAGTGCCAGGGTGACAAAAGACGAAAGGGTTGGATCCGGTCCCTGGGGCCATGCTGGACAATGTAAGAGGCCAGCCCGCACGCAGGGGTGGGATTCTACCGGTTTGGTCCAGTTCAGGCAAACCACTACGAGGATCAGCTGGGAGCGGACCAGTTTGGTTTGCTCTGATGATCAGCTGTTGGGGCCCACCTGGGCTCTAGGCTGTTCTTTATATCCTGTTTTTCAAGCTCAACTGATTGGTGTGGCACAGCAGATTTGCCGCACATCAGCTGTTTAACCCACAGGGATTGCTGGAGAAGGTCAGTAGCAAAAGCTCCACGCGCACCCTCACCGAACCGGTTGTTACACCGGTTGAATCGCACCCCTGCCCACATGCCTTTGGCCCGGTCTGAAGAGGAAACATGCCGGCAGTTTGGGGAGTGGCCTCAAGCTGGCCACGCCCGCCGAGACAGCCACACCCACCTGCCCCAGGTCAACCCCAGCCCTGAAGAGGCCTTCAACGAAATTGAGTTTGACACCCCTACGTGGATTTGGCTTGGGGCTGCAACTTCTTGACCCCTTTCCAACCTGGACAAGGAGTAGCAATTAGCAAAGGAAGGCAGACTCATTCAAGTAAGCAGCCACGGAGGAGGAGGAGGAGGAGGAGGAGGAGGAAGAGGAGAATAGCGTCGTGGAGCATCTGTCTTTCATTAAAGTGCTCGGCACTTTGTGGAAACCGGGAGCACAGCTGCAAAGCACCAGCCAAAAGGGGGAGCTGTGCCAGAAAATGCGC